ACCACATAAGACTGTGATAGCCTTGACGGATGGCACAGATCACAGTACATTAGCCAAATTATATGAAAACTATTTCAGCTGTTTGTGTAGACGTTCGCAACATAGCAGAACTCATTAGCATTTCCTTTTCTCCTGATATATTTAAATGTACCAAAAAATGTAATTGGTTCATGTGATGGCTGCACAGATCTGAAATGCTAACGATGCTGACACATCATTTTCAATTTTTACGTCTTAGAAAATTGCAAACTAACAAAGAATTATATAATGTAGAGACTTGTAAAATACCTCATTTGTAGACTTCTCTAACAGGATTTTCAAACTCAATTTTTTGTCATTTTAGTACATAATACAAATTTTATGTGAACGTTATGCTTAGATAATGTAAGTTTGCTGCTTAAAGATGATAGTTGTAAGAGAACCCGTATGGGAAATTAATGTGAAATAAGAGAATTCTACTAGTGTGGGATCAGATCACTTTGTGTGGGTGTGTGTGTGTATCTGAGAATTTAACTATAGCTCTTGGACACTACGATTACAAAGAAAGGGATACTAAAACATACACAATGTATTGTTGAGAAGTGACCTTGATATGAAACTAGTTTTTACAGATATTTCTCAATTTTTGAAATGTAACAAACTTCCCTTTTGTTGAAAAGGTGCAATGTGAGCTTAATTACAACGTTTTCCAGTTTGTGTGTTAATGAGAATGAATGTGTAATGTGTAGTCTAGTAATCCAGTTAGTATTCTCTCTATTTTGAATTAACAAATAATCCATGACAAAAAAAGAGACTACGAAAATGTATGTATTTTAGTTTACAAAATAACAAAATGAGTGTGTGTTATTGCAATATAAATATATTATCTCTAATAAAATGTCATCCTATATTTTCTTGTTTTATTTGCCCTTGCCATTTAGGATTTTCAAAAGTAAATGAAAATTTGCTCTAATGAATCACTATGAACAGGAATGTCATGTTATTTATGCTGTCGAGAAACATAACATTCTAATGTTACACAAGAACGCTAGCCCCCTGATTATCTTCATATGCTGAATGGTACATCATGGTGGGTTGGCCGCATTACCGTATTGCGATTATACAGGGCATTTATGTGCTCAATTTTGTATATTGGTATTGAAGTGTTTGGCTCTGCAGTACCCTCCATTCTCTGATCCATCAACAGCATACACCGCGCTGATCCGCCTCTGAAGAGGTTCACATCACGCAAGCTGAAGCGAGTGCTGCTGAGCTGAGGCTAAGGAGTCGTCTGTGGAAAGAAGGGAGGCGGGCCTTTGAAGCAGCGGTACAGGGAGGAATTTCATCCATTCCCAGCTAGCTAGTGCATATCGCCTGCCGCTCCTCCTGGATCGCTACCTGTCTTTATCCCAGTGAAGTAGATGCGCGCAACACAAGCGATTGTAATTAATTCACAGTTCAGGCTTACAGTTACAATGATTAAAAACAACGCATTGATCTGCGGAAGTAGTCATTGATAGCGTTACACACTCCGGCCCGGCCGAGCGCGTTTCCGCGCCGCCCGCGCGGCTTCCGGCATCCGTGAGCTGCGATCGCTCCCCACACCCTTGCTGCTCCCCCGCGTCGCAGAGCTCAGAGCTTGTGCGGGGGCAGTGCGCGGAAGGTGAAGGCAACGTTCTGTGGGCCCTTTTGTGGACGGCGCTTCGCCGGTCTCGCGCAGGATGCGCGCAGCGGACGCCCTCAGCGCCCTTGCGAGCGCCGTCTCCGCCCTCTTTTGTAGTTCCGCCGGGAACTGGTTGCAAACGCCTAAGGCCGCTTGCCCACGCCGCCACAGAAGCGCGCGAACGTCAATCATCAGGGCTCTTCGCCGACGACGGACAAAGGGACCGAAGCAGGTACCTGTTGCGGTCCCTTTGTGCGTCGTCGCCGGATGGTCGGCGAAGAGCCCTAATGATTGACGTTCGCGCGCTTCTGTGGCGGTGTGGGCAAGCGGCCTAAGATTCTGGAGACGTCAGCGTTTTGTACTGACGATCCGAGCGGCGGCGTGCTGATGCAAGCAGCTCGCTTCCCGCAGTTTTGGCTTGTAGCCAATAGAATCGGCTATTACAATGCATTATAATTGAGTATTAAGTTATAGTTAATTTACTAATGGAAAATATTGCAATGTTCCTTGGCATTTTTAATTACTGAAATTACGATGCTCATTTTGGGTTTATGAATGTTGAGATAATGTTATTTAATATGACGTACAGATTGCGTGGCTGCCACGCTCTGTAAATTCGTTGGTTTCTGGAAGCGCGAGGGGTGCGGAGAGTTGTCCTGCCTAAGCCTTCATTTGATGTGAAACGCTTACAGAAATGGCTCGTACTGATCCTCACCTGAATTGATGTGCGTGTGAAATATGTAATTAAATTATACATTGGTATCTTTAACGAACCTCAACAAAGATCTAATTAGGGAGAACAAATTTCATTTGAAGAAAAATCAATATTCTAGTGAAACGAGAAAAAAACAGACGTTTGTAACTTTCAAAAAATTTAACTTAACAGTAAATATGTGTGCTATCTTTAGAAGTGTTTATCAATGAATTACAAACAATTTAAGTTTGCAGTCTGAGGGAGCAAAAAGACTGTAAGCAGTGGACTGTTTGGTGAGTTCCATATGATTGCTGCTTGCACAACCATTTACAATAATAGCTTTTCAAAGACCAGTATGCTTGGGAGCGAACAAACACGCAGTGGGTTTCTGGAATAGAAACATAATCTCTAGGAATATTACTATCTCTCAGGCAAATTCAGAAGGAACAACATGACATTGAAGTGAATAAATCATTACATAATTCAACTAATTTAAGCTTGAAATCTCTATTAAGTACAGTAGTTTATACGTTGGAAAAACACCGTAAGCATTATTAAGATTGACCAATTATGTGTCATGAACAGATATATGAGAGAAATGTACTGACATTGCTCCAGGATAAAACATCAGTTGGTATGGCATTATCGCAAGGAAATTACAGTAATGTGCACTGAACACATGAACACGTATGGTAATGAAAATATGGCTTGCTTAATGAGAAAACAACAATCGTAATGGGAACACGGAGATGAGGACGTTCGGTGCATAGATCCCACTTGCGTGATAAAGCACACGCATCCGAGTAGGTCCCGCTGAAGGCAGGTATGAGTTCACGCGGTCCGGTGACCCTGCGGACTCGCCGGTCGCCTAGACAGCGTTTGTTGGACGATGCACGGACGGCGCCTCACAGGTGAACTGTGAAGCTAAGAACTAACACTTGAATAAGTTGTATGTCAAGCACCACATTAGTAATGGGGGTGCGCGACATGTGTGATGCTCATAATTAGCTTTTTATGTTGTAATGCAGATTAGGATATGTGCGACAAGCTCATATTGGTTCGGAAAAGTCACATGATGGCACATTAAAAAGTATTTGTCACAAATGTTCAGTATTTGTGAGTTTGAACAACAGTTATGAGACATTGCGCAACACGGGAAAGAAAAATTGTGACACAGTCAATCTACACAGAGAACAGAACTACATTAACTGAATTTATTGTGAATACATGCTGCACTGCACATAAGGTGAATTGATGTCTTTCACATGCATTTTATGAATCATTGCGATGAAATAGGAGAGAACTGTTCTTGAGTTCGAACGATAATTACAACATGATGCAAGTCACAAGAGATTATTACAGATAAAGGGACAGGCATTTTCACAGTCGATTAACAGAGAACTAGCTGTACGTGCGTGAACTGAATTAATCATCAAGTAGTTTAAGCTTGAAATCTCTATTAAATGCAATAGTTTATGTTGGAAAAACACCTTAATAGTTTATATGTTGGAAAAACACCGTGAGCATTATTAAGATTGACCGATTATGTGTCATGAACTGATATATGATAGAAATGTACTGAAATATATATATTTTTGTACATATTTGTTTTGGACACAATTTAAATGTAAGAAAAACTTCGACAGCTAATCAGTGTGTTCAACTTAACTTAGCGACATGACGTGGTAAATGGAAGAACTTGACCGAAAGCCTTTACACTTAGTAGTAGATCTAAGTACGTGTAGATGGCGTTCACTTGACACGAGTAGGGGCACATGGTAGAGTGCGCGAGTGTGCGAGCCGGTGTCTGGGCAAGGGTCCTTGTGTCCTCGTGTGGTCTTAGTTTCAAGATCTGTAATGAGACTAATTTTTCGAATATTCTGAATCGTTTAGAAGATTGTAGTTCGTGCCTAATCGTAATGGTGGGTTTCTAGATTTGGATATGGTGAATTACCTTTGAAGAGTGAATTTAAGACGTGGTTCACGATCATGAAGGTTATGTTTCACATTAACTACTAACAAAACCCAAATTTTTCAGCATTCGTTGTTGTATAGGAAAGACAATGCTCATGAAGACAGTATTTGGAGTTGTGCTTGGGGAAGGCTGAAGAAGAAGAAGGATGAAAATGGTGATGCAGATGGTGAGGCATCTAGGTAAGAAGCCGGGTCTTTTGTTTTTGAAGTGTATACAGAGAGGAAGTGACACAGTGACAGCTGTTCATTTTTATGGGTTTAGGGATTCCATTGCATCTGAAGAAACAGTTGATTACATTGTTACTGGTTCTGTGGATGATCTCGTGAAAGTATGGTTATTTAAAGATGATAGGGTTGAACTTAAACACAAATTGGAAGGTCACTCGTTGGGAGTGGTTTCTGTTGCCATAAATTCTGATGGAACAAGTAGGTTTCAATAATATATACTATTTAATATGTTCCTTTATTACATTTATTGTTTTGAAATATAGTAATATGAGGTGTTTTGTTAGCATGTGCATCCAGTTCATTAGATTCCAGCCTTCGCCTCTGGGATATAGAATCAGGACGGAAAGTGGGAAGTATTGATGTTGGTCCAGTGGATATATGGACTGTTGCATTCTCTCCCGATGACAAATTTATCATATCTGGAAGTCATTCTGGAAAAATTAATCTTTATGGTGTGGAATCAGGAAAACAGGAACAAACTCTTGATCCTAGAGGAAAATTTACACTTAGTATAGCATATGTAAGTATGAAAAATTTTTATAATAATGTTTTACATTTAGTATTTGTCCTTATTTTACTCTTTTTAATACCTGTCAGAGTCCAGATGGTAAATATATTGCCAGTGGAGCTATAGACGGCATTATCAATGTGTTTGATGTTGCAACTGGGAAGTTGGTACATGCATTAGAAGGTTGGTATTTGAGTTACGCTTTATTGAATAAATATAATTTATTAGTCACAATGATATATAAATTGTTTTGTTCTTAGGTCATGCTATGCCTATTCGTTCTTTGTGCTTCTCCCCGGATTCTCAATTGCTGTTGACAGCCTCTGATGATGGTCATATGAAGTTATATGAAGTGTAAGAAAATTTTGGTCCATAATTATTGTAGCTTGTTAAATATTACGCAACTACATTCAAGTGAAGTTATTACTAATTTTTTTTTCTTCTTCAGGCAGCATGCAAATGCTGTTGGTACTTTGTCTGGACATGCATCATGGGTTTTAAGTGTTGCATTTTCTCCTGATAATAAACACTTTGTTTCAAGCAGTTCAGACCATACAGTTAGAGTGTGGGAACTGAGTAGTAAACAGTGCCTTCACACTTTTACAGAGCACACTGACCAAGTAAGTTGAAGTGACAATTTTGTTTTTTTTTCACTTAATGTTCATGTTTAAAATTAATCTTCCCTTTGGACAGATTTTCAATGTAATGTATATTAATATAATATTGTTAATTATAGATTGCTTATATTTTGCAAAAGAATGAAAATTTCACACTTTGATCTGCTCCTATCGAAGGTCAGGTGTTTTATTCTTTGGAAGGCAGGATTGTTTGTCTCTGCCCACTGGGGTGGATCCAGGGGGGTATGGCCTCCGAAATGCCTAGTTTTCATTTACCAACCTTTATTTGGCAAAATTGATTTAAATATTTATTAAATTCGAATTATATAATTATTTAAACTATAATTCAGTACTAATAATATACAATATAACAACAGATATGTTTAATATTTAACAAAAATCTACAGTCCCGACCATTATTAGCTGGATCTGCCCCTATCTCTGCTTGACCCTCTTCTATTTTTTTGTATTTGCTAGAAGAGGATGATATGGAAAGGAATATAAATTGCATTTGTAGATTCGACAAATAAATATAGTGAACCGTTACTTTCATGACGCTTTTAGTATCTTGTTTGGCTTTTAGCGCAATGCAATCTGTGGATTCTCCAGCGACTTTTTCTTGGCTTTGATCGTTGATTATTGTTCATTTAACACATACCCTTCTTGACATAGTAAGATCTTTTTTGAGTGATTCATGTACCAACTCTTCTCTTTCATCATGAAAATAATTGTGAAGAGCTTTTATATCAAGAATGGCATCATGAAAATTCATTTTTGGATTCTGAAAACTCCTTTGTGCATAATCAATTTTAATGAGTACTTCATTCCTAAATCCTAGTCAAATCAGAAATTTGTAATCTAACATAAGAGTGTACAATTGTTGGGCATCACTTCTTGTTTCATGTATCTCGTTTGAGTTATCAGTCATGTTTTGTAGAACTTCAAGGATTTTGTTGAGGAAGTAGTTTACAGGTTTCACTTCTACTTGCGGACTCATGTGGTTAAAGATTCCGACTTAAGAACCGCAGGCATTGAACTTTTCGATTGTTCTCAGCATGTTGCAGGTGCTAAAAAGAACATATATGGAGCTTCAAGAGGTCCCAAAAATGTGACCATTAGTACTCCTTGCTTAGCTGCATGTATAGCAACCAAGTTAAGGGAATGATTATTACAATTGATAAACACAGTTAGTTTGCATTTTTCATGTATTCTTTGTTTGACACCAGGGCTCATTCCAACCATCACAGCAGCATTGTCATGACATTTTGACCAACACACTTGTAACTTCATTTCTTTTGTCAATTGGCTGGACGATACTTTCAGCTTTTCCAAGCTTATTTTGACAAAACTTAGGAAGGATTCTCAAACAGACAGATTTTTTTCTCAAAATTAATGTCCACTTACCTAACTTTCTCAAAATCAGACATAGGACTGAAGTATTTTGCTTTTCAAATATGTTCCAGCAAACTTTGTCAAGCAGTAGATGTCATCAAATAGATAAACGCATTTGAACAGTAGAAGAAAGATATGTTGTGGATTCAGGATGTTTCTCTATGATATTGACTCCTCCTGCCATCATAGGATCGTAAAGAGCGAGTAATTTCAATAATCTCAGAAAATTACCTGTGTAAAAATCATCGTCCCATTGACGTGATTGTTCTTGTAAAGTCCAATTCTGTATTTTAAGATATTTGTTGCAGTGAAGTATTCTTTTCAATACTTCACATCACTTTCGTTTTTCCCTTTCAATCTGCGATTGAAGTTCTGCATCTACTGTATTATACTATCATGTGCTCTAAACTTTCTCTTCATGTCTTTCCACTTTGTAAAAACATTCACTATGATTTTTACCATTTATACGGACTCTCATTCTTTCAGATGAGTTGCAATGGGTAACTTACATTCAAGTTGATTGGTGATTTGAACAGGGAAAAAACTGGACAACATAATGAAAGTGCAGACTTTAAGAAAGTGAATAGATGAACCATGAGTAGTTTTATTTTATCTGTTCTTGAGCAGCGTTGGTTACCACTTAGTTTTGGGGAAAAAATAGCATTTTGCTGTAGCAGGGAACTCTTCTTATAAATGTGTAATTAAATTTTCTAAATCAAGTTTTTTAGCACTTTGAGTATTAAAAAATGTGACTGCAAGTTATAATAGAAAAGCTTTTGAAATAAAAGCAACTACAATAACAAACAACAATAAAATTCTTATTGTGTGATATCTTTAAAATGTTGCTTTGGTTTTCTTCATAGACTATTTGAAAAGAATTTAAGTTAATTTATTTTTATATAGACCAGTAAAACTAATTTATTGAAAAGATATAGTTGTGAATGGTATTAATATTTCTATTATTATTTTAGGTTTGGGGTGTGAAGTACAATCCAGATGGCAACAAAGTGGTATCTGTCTCAGAAGATAGAGCAATTAATATATATGATTGTCCTGTGTAAATTTGGGCTGTTTTCCATCAACTATGAACTTGAGAATATTTTTGTGCTCTATTTGAGTTTGGTCTGATGTGTTGCATATGCTTTTTTTTTCCATATATATTGTGATGACAAGGAGTAAATCTTATTCAAGGATCTTTTCAATTTGCAGCACATTTTGAGATCTTATCAGCTACAGATAAGACAGATCATTCATAACATCATAATATAATAAAAATGTCAAGATTGTCCTTTCATTTGCTGGATATTTGTATTATTTAATATTTGTATGTGTTAGTTTGATGAGAAATACATTATATCTGCTGCTGTCAATGTACATCTTTCTGTCTTGAATGTGTATTTTACTCTAATTGTTTATAGAACATCAATATGTGTATTTATTTATTTATTTTTTTGTTTTTAATATATGCTTTTAATGATGAAGTAACAACCCTGTCACAATGTGACAAATTATGTGAAAGGGATTGCTCCCCAAAGAACTTCTTAGAAAGTGTATTTCTAGTTCATAAGCAAAATCTTGTCTCTTTCTAATATGCTAATTGTTGACTTCCAGTAGACTTAAAAATGGAATTGTTTAAAATTTAATATCTATTTTATTTATTGGTCTTGATGTCATGTAGAATTCCCCATGTACATATTTTGTTCCTTCTAGAGATCAAATTTTCATGTAATATGCTACAACAGCGCATATTTTAACTGCTCACATAATTTCCAGCTCATCATTCAGGCAAGAAAGGATAATTCCACATATAACTTGATCATCCAGAAATAGAGACTTATATATTTCGCCAGATGTATATCACTCTGACTCTGTGAAGCCCAAATACTTAAAATTATCACATAATTGTATTTTATCATTTCTAATCTACAGATCATTTTCATTTATGACATTTATTTGCAATCCCTCTATTTCAAAATCCTGTTCAACTTTTCTTAACATAGAGTTAATATCCTGTTCATCCTCTTCCTGATCATCCGCGAAAAGTAGAACATCCAGAATTTATTCTCCAATTTGCATTCCCATCACATTGCGTTTCCTCCTCCATTCTCTCACAGCTTCAGCAATGGACATGTTAAAGAGAGTTGGGGCACATACAGCACCCCTGTCTTAATCCTTTAGAATTTATTATGTCAATTGATACTAGTCCTTGACTTTCACAACACCTTTACTGTCTTTGTACATTTTCTTAATGGTGTTAACTAATTTAAAATTTCATTTTTGTTCTAAAATTTTAAAAAGTCTGCTAATTGGAATGCTGTCATATGCTTTTTGGAGGTCATCAAACAATAGATGAGAATCTCTTCGACAGACTTTCCTTTTTTCTCAAATTTGTTGGATGTAGAAAATGTTATCTACACATGAACGGCCAGCTGTAAAACAGCTTTGTTCTTTCAGATTTTCTATCTCTTACTCAATTGTTCCTTTAATTATTCGCCCGTACAGTCCACTAATTGAACTTGTGACACTAATGCCTCTATAGTTTTCACTTTTTTCTTAATTGTGTTTTATATAATTTTATATAAATTGGTACAATTCCTGCTTTTTTCCATTCTTGAGGAATTTCTTCTTGATCAATGAGACATTTATTAAATAGTTTTACAATAATTTCTTTCATTTAATCCCAAGAGTGTTTTAACAGTTCAACTGGTAGCCCTCCTGGGCCTGGGAATCTATTATTTCTCATTCCTCTCAGAGCATTATTTAATTTTTTAGAGTAATTTTTGGGTTGTCATCCTGTATTTGTACATTATCTGCATTACAACTGATTTATTCTGTTCTATTCTCTCTCAGACGATTTTGAAAATGTGCTGCCCACTGTGCAATATTGATTGGTGATGATCTGTATTTACAGGACACATCTGTTTTTAGTTCTTTTATTGATTTCCATGCCTCTCTAGACCTGTTGCTTCCCATTAATCTATTTACTTCACAGCATTTTGTTTCTCAAGCATTTGTCTTCGCTCTTTTAACCTTCTATTGATATTACTAAATGCTGGTCTATCTTCAGGGTTTCCTGAGCTTAGCCATTTTCTATATATCACTTTCTTCTTTTCTATCATTTGCTTCAATTCTTCATTCCACCAGTATGTTTTTTCCCCCCTTTATTTTGGGCTTCTCACCTAATGCTTCAAACACTGCTTCATGGATTTCTGTTTTCATTTGATCATATACTTCACTTGCTGGCCAATCTACATTTATTTGCCAATCTAAATCTATATAGAAAACTAGTAGTCATTTTGAAAGCTATCCAACTGACATATTTTTGTGTTACATGGAGCACGAGTTTCTGGTTTCTGATCTTTTGGAAGGTAGATTTGTAAAAAATATTAATTAAAGTTCTAACTATAAAGTGGTCGCTACCACATTCTGCTAGTAGTACTCTTTTAAGTCTTGGCATTTCAGATGAGTTTTCTGTCTTAATATCACATAATCAATTATTGACTTAATATTCCTCGTAGGTTGGGTCCACATATAATTATGGATATCTTTTTGTATATAGAACCCATTCATGATTTTAAAATCCATCTGACTACATAAATTTATGAATCTCTCTTCATTTTTATTACATTCTTGTTCTCCATAAATACCCACTATATTATTATTCTGTTTACTTCCCGTTTGGGCATTTAAGTCACCCATTATTAGAATTTTCTTACTTGAAGAAATGTCTTGTAATATTACCACTAATTTATTTTCAAAAGAGTCTTTTAAAAATTCTGTTGCATCTTCAGTTGGGGTGTGATTACAATTATCATAGTGTGACCAAATATATCTAACTCTGCTGTCAGCAGTCTGTCATTGATCTCATTCCAGGTTCTTACATTTTTTTCTATATTTTTTGTGGTTTGCACTGATACTCCACATATCTTTGTTTACACCACTATAAAAATTGATATATTTGCTGTAGTCTTCAATTCCTTTTCCATCGTAGTTTCCGTTAATTAACAAATATAACTGACTGAATACTTCATACTTTTTCTAATACCCTCTACGTTCCATGTGGCCATTCACATTGTCCAGTTTCATTGCTTAAGTAGTCTTCATTTGGGCCCGTTTAAAGGCTGCTTAGAGTTTTTAACATGTTTATGATTTTTACGGGAATGGGGTGTTTGTCCATAGCCCATTCTCCAAAATGCCAGGCCAGGATTTGTTTGGGGGTTTCTCCTCTAGAGGGGTTGGCTCCACGTCTTTCTGAGTCCTCTCTACCCATGGTTTTGTTTCAGGGTTTTCCTTCCCTTAGCCTTGGGGGTGCTCCGCCCCCTCCTGCAAAGGCGACAGGTTGAAATCGGAAAAGAAAGAAAGATAGAGAGAGAGGAGGAAGAAAGTAAAGAATAGAATGGAAAGAAGAGAGGAGAGAATAATGACTCCCTAGCCATCGCAACCTAATAGCATCGGGGTCGAAAAACACAAGAGACCAAGAATAAAGGAGTATGGCACAAAGGAAGAAAAGCCATGTCACACTAGTAATGGGACAACATTTATGGTTAGTTGCCATGGAGGGGGGAGAGGGAGGGACATGGGAACCAGGCACGATGAACTTTGGATACAGATGAAGTACTGGTGGGTAGTTGTCAGATCTCCTTCATCTGGCTCCTCTGCTGAGATCTGTACATCAATGGGTGCCGGTTGCATCGTTGATCGATCCTCAAACTCATCATCAATGCTACCCCTATATGCTCTTGGCTTCATAAGAGCACACAAACCTCTTTGCCCACATGGCCAGTGCTACTTTAAGGCAGTGTCTCCTGTAGGAGGTAACACAAAATTGCAAAACCTGTACATTTGAAAACTGCAGACGAGAGAATAAGAAATTTTTGTCTTAAAATCGGCTTTAAAAAATTAGCTCATTACAAACGGCCATGTACGTTAGTTTTAAAAAAACTAGTGGTTTTTGCGAAATTTCTGCTCAATGTTAATGAAATATATACAGATGTCCCACCAATTGTGGGAAAGAACCAGGAATGTATCAATAGGATATGAAAAAAATATTTATTACATTCTAATTATAATTTCTGTTAAAAAAGAAAACGACTATTAATTCAATATTTACTCTATTCTACTAATATACCAATGCAGCTGGTTTGAGATATTCGACGGTAAAAAATGTATGATAAAAAAAATATGAAAACTGCAAAACATGCTGGTTACAGCTAGGTGGCAGCCATGTTTTGCAGTTTTCATATTTTTTGACCATGTTGTAAACATTCATGGGTGATCCACGTTGCTTGGGCAGTAAGTATTTTCAATTTGTGTTGATTTGATTTTATTTGTTAGTTTTTTTCCACTAAATTCACTATTTCTTTTTTGTATTCAACTTGTGTTAATGCTTTCATTTCTCCTTGCTAGAGACCGACTGGGGATGGGAAAAGTGTTTTCCCAAAAGTTAACTCTGGATAATAATTAATAAAAAAATATTAAACCTTTTATGGAGATTATTTCCTTTACCATATTATTGAACATACTGACTTGAAAGTTTCACCAAATCATTGCTGATAACGAAAATACTGGTACAGGTAAAACACAAACCAAACCCTAACAAGACACGCCTCCATTCTTCACCCACATCCCTCCACAATTTGGTACATAGCAGTTGTAGACCTCGACACAACATTAAATGAATGTTTCCGCTACACACATAAAAAAAATCTTCATGACCACTATTAATAGTATTTGTAGTTGCTGCGAGAGAGAATTTTGAATGAATAATTATGCAAATAAATCTCGTCAGTGTGCGCAAACCACGGTATACACAGAAAGCGTAAGTAGTATAAGATAGCCTTCTAAGAACGAAGTCACAAAGATCACCACCACCATCAAGATTTGAAATATAGGTGGCAGAGATAGTATCGATAAGCGCCGAACCAGCAAAAATTTAATAGAATGTCCAAGAATATCTCATCCTGTAGAACACGGCATAAGGAACGTTTCCTTGAGGCCTGTGGCCTCAAACTTTAAGGTTTTAAGGTCCTAGAACGCTTCGTTCAGGAGTGATTTAACGATGTAATTGAGTGCAGTGGGTTGCATTTGAGATTAATATTTAGATACGTTTTTTAAACACATCCATTATATTTTTGAAGTCAAAGTGTAATTCGTTACGTCTCCGCGAAATCGAAACATCTTTTTTTGGAGGCCTCATTTATAAAGAACGGTTGCGCTTGAGAGCCGCAAAAGGTATGTAGACGTCTGAGATAATATATGAGGCGATTAATTTTTAGTTATTAGCGTTAAGTTTAAATCAAGCGAACAATACGAAAGTAGAGAGTAAACTGAACCTTGTGAAACCTGAAAATGTTTATAGTAATAAAAACAACAGAAATTGCGGTACTGTCATTTTACGTAACCGTGACTAATGACAGGAGGTATGTGCTGTTGTAGTGCCACTAGTTTTAATAGTTTCTACTGCTTCGTTAATTAAGAGTACAAAAAAAAAATACTTAACTTTCTTTGACTCTTTCTAAATACTTAAGTGGCTTTTTATTCAGTTATTAGAATTACAACAGAACATACATTTCAAAATTGAATGCAAAACTTCTTCATAAAAATACTGTTGAGCAAATCAAGTGTTTAAACACGACTTTTTGGTGCATTTTTCTTCTTTGTGTTTTTAGACTTGTCCACCGCAGCGAGTGAACATGACGCTTGAGGCTTCAGCGCATAACAACAAAAAGGAGTATATTTGCCTTTGTGCCCTACTCTCTTTCGTGCTAGCCATGTCCACTAGGTTGAAGCGAACGTGGTCTTCCTCGCCTGACTCCTTAGGAAACTCGCACATCATAGACGACATCACCCCAGAATCGTGCCACGCTGTTAAAATGCGCGCCGGTTTCACGTCTTGCAGCGTCTTCGCATACTGGACATCCTTGCATGTCTGCGAATCG